CCCATGAACGGCATTTTCTGCGAGCCTAACTTCAAGCCACAAATAAACAAACGAAGTGTTCGATCGTTTAAATAGCTGCTCGCCAGATTTTATTGCATTATAAAGAAAAGTTATTGAAACTAAATACAACTAAATAAACAACAACAACTAAAACAAATAACAACAACTACTAATAACAATAACTAAATAAACAACAACTAAATTCCACTCGTTTAGCATTGCGTCATATGTTGTTCCTACAAAATCGAAGTAGTTGTGTTTTTTTCATATTATACCCAATTATGTCGATTATGAGCAAAAGATAATTAATGTGGCATAATCGTATCTCTTTTAAATTCTGCACCTAAATTAACCTTCAGTTATTATTTTATACGCTTCATATTTTATTTAAGGCAGGATTAAACATTAAATCAAAAATAAGGAATAAATTAATAATAATTTACTTACACAAATTTATCTCTGATTTTTGTGGATGAATTTGATATAGCTTAATGATCATATGAACATACAGTCTTTAATTTTTCTAAGAACAACACCTTTTATAATGACTTTTATACTGACGCACAATCTTTTTAACAAACTACTCAAACTTGAATTTTAACAATGTAATGCAGTTAAAGAACACGCCCCGGCAGAGAAGTTTTCTAGTTTCATTTGGATGAGATTTACAGGAAATCCATGATGTGTAGGTATTCACGCTAAATGTGTTAACTCAAACGCGTATATCATTGTATGAACAAATTGAAGAGCGGAATTGTATTATTTTCTCACCATTTTAAGTAATAATATTCGTAAAATTTCCGTAGATCCGCTTCTTTAAAACTACGAAGTGCTGCATCCATATTAAACTTGATGAATAATTCTATCCCGAAAACAAAACAAAAACATTAGCGTACAGCTGAGAGCTACGATTGTTGAGAGTGCTCTTTCAACTCCAATTTCAATTTTTGCCAATTGTGTCTTATCTTGGCCGGATAAGATCTGCTTACAAGCGGTCCTTGCAAAGAGCTGATTTATGCATTACAAATAGGTTTAATAAAGCAGAGTTCTGTATCTAACGTGAAAGCCCTTCAGAAAAGTTTCCGAACTCGATGACGCGTATATCAACTGCAACACATAGTTCATTACTTTTCAAATTTAATCTGCGCTCCAGATAATAGTAATGAAAACGATGAGTAAATAACGGAGGATATACTCGCAATTGAACACTTTTATGCATTTGAAAACATCTTAATAGGCTGCATCTCCTATTTTCCTCACACTTTTTTCATAAACCAAAGACTCACTCAAGGACGCTATTCTCTCTGCGTTTCCAATATATATGTTTCGTTATTGTTTTAATAAATATTGTTACATTTAATTAACTGATCTTTCGAATTTCCACAACATCAAACCATTCTCGACACTTTTAACAATCTCATTTCATGTGGGCAATTTCCGCGATATGGGATCGAGAGCTGCAGCAGCAGTAATCCTTTTAACGATGCATTTATTTGAGTGAAAATAAATAAATAAAAAATAGGGAGACCCTTGACTTTAATTGTTGAATTACAAGAGAACTAACTTACTAAATGGCAAAAAATAACAAAGTACATATAGTCAACAAATTTGGAAGCTATGGAAGAGGAACTATTTAAATAATTTACAACAACGTTCTAAGTGAATATCCAAAAAGAATAATGTTAACGTTGGTTCACTTGTGTTAATCAAAGAATATCATATACCAAGTACAAAATGGCAAACAAGGTGAATTACTGAAATAGTTTGTGGTAAGGATGGTAAAGTACGAGTAATAAATATCCTGCTTCCAAATGGTAAAATATTGAAACGAAATGTTAGAGATATCGATAGTAATTAGATATTGTAATGCGTGTCATTCAATTGCGTGTCATTCAATGTCATTCAATTTTTAACATTAAGATTATTTTAAATATGCTTTTTGTATGTATCGAGTAAATATTATTGTCTTAAATTTTAAATACTTGTATTTGTGTTCAAACTTTTAAGGTTTCAATGCTGGGAGTATGTTCAAGAGCAAACAATGTGCAAGCGTCGTCATCGCACGCGCTGCCATGTTGACCGCTGTTGTTTGATAATTATTAGAATTCTTTTTTCATTTTAAGTTCATTTTGCATTGATATTTTTTTGGCGAGTTTAGTATTAAATTGTGGGACCAAAGGGATCTTATAAATATGACTGAAATTGTCAATTAAGAGAATCTCATCCCTTAAACGATGTTTTCCTTATTTAATTAATGATCAGAAATCTAATCTATACTTCAAAAGAGATATATAGCCATACTTCCCCCTTAAAAATCTTAGATATTTTAGCAAAAAATTAGAAATTTTGACAAAAAATCTTAGAAATTTTAGCAAGTAATTTTTAATAATTAACAGATAGTGATTATTTTCATACAAATTAGCTTATATTTCTAATAAAATAGTAAAAATCTTTTCCTGTCTTGAAAATGTAAATAAATGTATTAAAAAAAAAATTCTACACTTTTAAATTAATGCATATAACTGCCTTAACAGATTGTTTTTAACATACTGTCATCAAGTGAGAATTAGTTAATTTTTCATTCATACAGAAATTTTGAATTTATTAATTTAAGTAAGAACAATTTTGTATTCATTGTTAACTTTTTGTTCTTGGATAAATATTTGCTACAATACGATATACTTTATCAGATATTCGTGTTATATTTTGTTACTCATCATAATTTATTATTTGTTCTTCACTGCACAGTGTGAAATTTATTGAGCTACATGAAAAATAAAAGAAAATTTTCACAAAAACTGTTTAGTTCAAAAAATTTTCGCTCTGAAAAATACCAAAATTCTGTAGTGTCAAAAGAGCAATGATCTCTTAGATGGCATTTTTGAATTCTGTAAGGGTTTTCGAGATAATTTGTACAGATTTTGTCTTTAATTTATCCTCACTAAAATAAGTCAGAAGGGTTTAGAACAAGGGACAAGGAGGGCCAAGCAAATCCTATTCCAGTGGCCTCTGGTTATCCAATGGAGTAGGGCAGTGATTCTCAACCTTTTTTTTGTTGCGGCACACTTTTAACGATTTCGAAATTTGACGGAACGCAATGAAAAAAATTAGATTAAAAGTTGTTTAATTACCTATTTTACACTGTGTTTAATAGTTCGTAATAATAATTTTGAATGTGAAATAAAATAATATGTACTACAAAAGCACGTTTATTAAGGGATTAATTATTTCTCTCAACCAATTTTTTATTAGTTAGTAACAGCTATTTATTTTTTTGCTAGTTATGANCGGCCAAATTATTAGTTTATTTTATAATAGTCATTGAACAGCCAACCCAATTTCGAGTTTACGACTACTAATGTTCAACTTATTAGACTTCTAATTTTAAACTCAATTCAGAACACAAAGGAACTCCAGGATCCAGTATTGGAAGAAATTTTTGTCTTGGAGGGGGACGTTTTGATGGAACTGACCAGCATTTAAGTTACATGATGAGGAAAACCACAAAAGCTTTCCACTATCAGTCTAACAACAAGGGGACTCTAACCTATGATCCGTCTACCACTGAGGGTATTTTACTTCGGCACAGTGGCTGCTGTAAGCTGGGTGTAGAATTCGTATCGACCAGTCAACACTGGGATTCGAACTCAGTGCCCTTGAGTCCATCTTCACTGGGTAATAACTCTGCAGGAGGCAGGGCCGGCCCTAGACATTTTGGCGCTCCGGGCAAAACCTTAATTTTGCGCCCTCCCCCTTCGTTTTCTTTTAAGTAAATCTCATGCGACCATATCAGAAAATCAAGAAAACATTGAAAAAAAATATTAAAAAAAAGTTTTATTTAAAACTCAATCATCAGATAACAAGATAAGCAATTTAGCACTTAAGGCAAAATAACAAAAATTAAAGTGTAGTAATGCTAACTAAACTAATATCCCATATTATTAATAAATTCTAACTAACCAAAGTAATTAAAATGCCCTTTTTCTAACTTTTCTTTCGGCAAACTCACGAACCAGTGATTTCAGGTCTAATTTGTCACTAATTTGGTGTTCAATAGCTATCATTGCCAATCCATTGAGACGATTTTGCGTCTGCATCGTTCTGAGATAATTCTTTATTATTTTTTGTTTTGAAAAGCTTCTTTCTCCTGAAGCCACAGTGACTGGCAATGTAAGTAGGATTCTTAATGCTATGCTGAGGTTTGGTGCGAATTTAAGTGTAGCGATA